CCTTGTATAGATCCAGAAGGATGCAGTACTGCGTGTACATCCCCGCTTAAGGCTAATTGCTTTGCGAATAGCTTAGAAATGCCTTCGCGTTAGACGAAGCAGGTGCTTGGGATCATGTTTGTGTAAGAGCTGGGTAGCTTTCAATTACATAACCCTCATCTCTCCCCACATCTGCTCCCCTATACCGAGGGATTTTTTTGTGATCCCCTACAGGAACTGCTCAGATTGAAATGATATACTTTTTTTTTCTATTTGAAAATTGAAAGATGTAGGTAAAGTTTATTTGACGTTTACTACACTGTAGTTTGATGTAATATTCCAGTTTTAATGTGTACGTACCACTGGCCTATAGCAGAGGTTCCCAAACTTTTATACCTTGCGCCCCCTTAAAACATTTCATAAATTTCACGCCCCCTTCCACAACAAGTGCAAGCAAACAGATTTAACATAAAATTTAGCTATGAGTATACATTTTTTTTATAATTTAGTATATATTATTTAATGCATTTTTATTAAAAACTGTAATAAAATATACGCTTCATACTTAGATTAATGGGATGGATGTGGTTGCTTCTGTGAACATAACTTATCATACCGAGGTTGGAGTTTTGAAATGACCGCTCTAAGGTCGTTTTACAGGTTCGACGTAGAACGATGCATTGTTTTGATGACTGCCACTGCTGAACTGCCTCAACCAAGCTAAGGATGTTAAAAATGTTTCTCCATATTTCGTTAAAAAAGTTTTTCATACAAACAACACGCCCCCCAGAAAACCACTCGCGGCCCCCCCAGGGGAGGGGGGGGCGCCCCACACTTTGGGAACCTCTGGCCTATAGAATTTTTACTCATCTGTATGAAATTAATAGAAGCGTAGCAAATTTCGTAACTATAATGTTCCATAATTCAGAGATTTGACGTCTGACATTCTGATGAAGATGAAGATTTAGATTGTGATTGTCTGTGCTGTGATGTTACGTTGTCTTGTACGTAGTTACCATCGTTTTGAAAGGGTTAAGCAACAACAAATAGGTCTGTTATTTCGTGATTTTTGTCAGTTCCTCCTAACGAATCCCAAGATGTATTGTTACACTTTAAGTTTTTCGTTCACGATCAACTTGGTTTTAATCGATGCTTAACATAGCTGCGTTGGAATTAGTATCGTTAAAATAAGTTTCAGTTCATTCCTAGTGTACACTGCGTTGTTTGATTTAGTGATGGTCGTATTGAATACTGTATGTAACTTGTTCTCTTCTGTTTCAGGTAAGTGGACTACCTGGTTGAGATACTGCGTGTCAGTAACGAGGCACTGCGACACGTAAGAAATAGATTTTACAATCTGCGATCGAGACCTTCTAATTTGATGGTAGTTGGGTTTAGTATGAATGCTTGGAGGTACAGATTTATTTTGATAGAAATCATTTGCTGTTTTATAGGCTTGTAGTAGTTATTTCTTAATTCAGGCAAAAATACTTGTCGATCTCACATATTCAAAGAAGTACGCGTAGACCAGGGGTCGGTAAATTTTAATTCCCTTGGACAATTATTTATTTTAGATAGCTTTATAAAAAAAAATTCTAATTAATTCCTGAGATAAATTTTACTCGAAACTCTTTGTCGGTTTATGTATATTTATTGGTTTACTTCATTTTTACAACTTCATATAATACAACAGAGCTGTAACCCCAAAATAAAGTAACATTGACTTTTGCGTTATAATCATATACGTTTTTTTATGAAATTGAGAACAATTGAAAGAAATTTGTGTTGTAATTACTTTGGTTATTAATATATAACCTCTTGCTGCCGATCTTGATGTAGACACCTGTAACTGAAAAAAAATAATTATCTCTTTATTATAAAGCCATTTACGTACTGGGGCGTATCAGTACTGTGGACCTGTTTATAATTTATCGAAATAAATTAGCTCACAACGTCCCAGTATATTATTCTTTTCATTAAGTGCAGTTAGGAACTCCAAGACGTGTGTCCTCTGGATTATTGCACTCTGTGTTTTGATTAAAAAGTTTTTCATACAAACAACACGCCCCCCAGAAAACCACTCGCGGCCCCCCCAGGGGAGGGGGGGGCGCCCCACACTTTGGGAACCTCTGGCCTATAGAATTTTTACTCATCTGTATGAAATTAATAGAAGCGTAGCAAATTTCGTAACTATAATGTTCCATAATTCAGAGATTTGACGTCTGACATTCTGATGAAGATGAAGATTTAGATTGTGATTGTCTGTGCTGTGATGTTACGTTGTCTTGTACGTAGTTACCATCGTTTTGAAAGGGTTAAGCAACAACAAATAGGTCTGTTATTTCGTGATTTTTGTCAGTTCCTCCTAACGAATCCCAAGATGTATTGTTACACTTTAAGTTTTTCGTTCACGATCAACTTGGTTTTAATCGATGCTTAACATAGCTGCGTTGGAAAATAGTATCGTTAAAATAAATTTCAGTTCATTCCTAGTGTACACTGCGTTGTTTGATTTAGTGATGGTCGTATTGAATACTGTATGTAACTTGTTCTCTTCTGTTTCAGGTAAGTGGACTACCTGGTTGAGATACTGCGTGTCAGTAACGAGGCACTGCGACACGTAAGAAATAGATTTTACAATCTGCGATCGAGACCTTCTAATTTGATGGTAGTTGGGTTTAGTATGAATGCTTGGAGGTACAGATTTATTTTGATAGAAATCATTTGCTGTTTTATAGGCTTGTAGTAGTTATTTCTTAATTCAGGCAAAAATACTTGTCGATCTCACATATTCAAAGAAGTACGCGTAGACCAGGGGTCGGTAAATTTTAATTCCCTTGGACAATTATTTATTTTAGATAGCTTTATAAAAAAAAATTCTAATTAATTCCTGAGATAAATTTTACTCGAAACTCTTTGTCGGTTTATGTATATTTATTGGTTTACTTCATTTTTACAACTTCATATAATACAACAGAGCTGTAACCCCAAAATAAAGTAACATTGACTTTTGCGTTATAATCATATACGTTTTTTTATGAAATTGAGAACAATTGAAAGAAATTTGTGTTGTAATTACTTTGGTTATTAATATATAACCTCTTGCTGCCGATCTTGATGTAGACACCTGTAACTGAAAAAAAATAATTATCTCTTTATTATAAAGCCATTTACGTACTGGGGCGTATCAGTACTGTGGACCTGTTTATAATTTATCGAAATAAATTAGCTCACAACGTCCCAGTATATTATTCTTTTCATTAAGTGCAGTTAGGAACTCCAAGACGTGTGTCCTCTGGATTATTGCACTCTGTGTTTTGATTGAAGTTTACCGACGTTTCAGAAGTGCCTGCTGCCCTAGTCATCACCCAAATGATAGAAGCATCAAGAACCTCTGAGACGTCGGTGAATTTCTGCCAGAATTCATGGCACGACAACCAAGGAGACAGCCATGTCCACATTTGTCGCCAAGAGAACCTGAAGTCTCAAACAGTAAATCGTTTTGTAAAGAAAATCCCAGCAGAGATATCGCTAAGCAAAGTGTCAGAAATGACTTTTTCTCGCATTTTAAAAAAGAAAATTGTGTCGAAAGTTATTATAAGCAAATAATGAGATGTAATTTTTCAAGCAAAATTAATTTATCTCAGCAAATTATAATCCAATCCCCAGTATTAAATATGATCTAATCTTGTAAAATAATCTAACAGAAGATAATTAGGGAGGGATAGATGTCCAATTTATGTACTTTATGAAAGTAATGATGAACATGTAAAATAAGCTTGTAGGTACTGACTTCTAAATATGTTTGACTGCCGTTATTAGTGTAATGTTTCTGAGGGGAGATGTTTATTAAAGTGTAATCCTGTATGCAGCCTCTCAGCTTCGAACACTGAGCCTCTACATAACGTAATTCGCGACTAATTTGTACCACACTAATGCTACAGCTCAAGCAAGTTTTTTGTTTTTTTAGAGAGAGAGAAGAACTTTGTTTTCCTCTCTCCGGCTTCAGCTAAATAAGTTGTGAGAATCATGTAGTGCAGATAACAGTAAACAACTACTGATAATCCTGAAATACGGTGTAGGAATACAGAAAAGTGTACGTGCTTATTTACGTTAGCCTTGTGTCATGTCTTATGAGTAGTGTGTCACAAGAAAACACTTTGTGAACAGAACTTCGTTGGAAGAAAAATAAAGAAGGTGTTATACATGTGTACCGTAAATGTCTGAGTCTTTACGTCTTAGGTGTGATATGGAAGGGGTATTTTGCAGTGTAGAGAAAGGAGTTTTATGACCTGCATGTGAGTGAAAATTACGTGTTCTTATGTCTCGTATATCATACAGGTACTGAGCCCTGTGTTTGGCACCATTTTTCTTCGACTAATATCACTCATGCTCGTTATTATTTGAACTGGCAGGCTGAGTTGAAAACTGACTAGTCACAAAAATTTCCCCAAAATTTAAGTTTGTTTCTGGGATAAATAAGTAAGACAAAATTTGTCACAGTTTTTTCACTCTTATCAAAGATTCGAAATTGGGCTCAGGCTTATAAGAGAATATATATTATTTTGGCTTTGATTTGTTCGTTATTAACGTCAATGACGATGGGTTTTTCTACTGCATAGGTTGGATTGAGTCGAAAGAGATGGGAATTTTGTAAGTAATGTTGAGTAGACATGGATTTGAATGAGGGCTGTCTTTGAATATTACGAATTTGCTATTTTGGCGTTTGCCTACAAAGGTTGAACACCGCGATAAAACTTTGTAACTACTTCGTCCGACCAGGATTCTGAGGTACGGGTCTTCTGCTTTGAGTCTTTAAACTGTTATGCTTCTTAAAAGTTATTTTTTATGCTGATGTTAAATGTTGCTAAGAGGCTTCAAGCGTTTCGCATTTCGTTACAGTAAAAATGTTTGTGGCCAGAATATAAAAGCGAAATGTAAGATAGAAGAAGTGAATTAAAATAAAAGCAAGGAAGAAAATAAAGAATAACACTAAAAGTGAATGAAGAAAATAAGAATGAAAGAAAAATTACATCAAAATCGACGTCACAAAGGGTGAAAAATAACACAGTATCATCCCATTTTCGGAGAATAATTTAGATTTGTTAACAGAATCTTCACGCTTTCTTCCTCAGTCCCTCACGATCGTCTTTTATTTCTGCTGAACACTTTCAGCTGAGTTGACCACTGGACCAGAACTCATACGATCTCTCAGTACTAATCCAGTGAACTGTGAATAGGGACGCGCGTGTATTGAAGTTTGTTTAGAAAGCGTCTATTGTGGAGCTTGAAAAGTTATAATTAAACTGCTTTATCACTGCGCTGCTTTTTGGTGATAAACTACGTTACTGGTTCTCTGACGTTGGTCGCTTGTTAAGCGTGGTGGCTATTCTTTGTGCCCCCCCCCCCCGACC